ACTTTATGGCTTACTTCAAATCCTTTTGACAAAAAAGTTCCCCCCACATTCCTCTCTCTTATAGATGCAAGCCAAGATCAGAAAGGCAAATATGTGATTTATCAACCATTACTTCAAGTGGTAAAATGTTATGTTGCCAAGAACTTTGTGTGCCTCTCTGCACTGTACCCTCTGGGCTGAGGTCTTTAGTCAGCAGATAGAAAAGTCCTAATTGATTTTAAAGGCTCCAAAATATTAGGAACAACAGAGCAAAAATGGGTTGTTTTACCCAGCTTACACCAGAAGTAAGAAATGGCTTGAAATGAAAGCAGTTCATTCAGGGTCAGTCCTGATTTCTTTGTAAAACCCAAGATGACTCACTGAAACTGGATGGACCTTTTCAGGAGACTGCACCATTTAGCTCCAATCTTTCAAATAGTTCTGCTGTGGATGTGTCAGCTAAGGTGATGGAAACACTTCAGGGCAAGCCACACACCAGGCAGTGAGGGCAAGATATGTTATTCAACTAGAAGGATTCATCTTCTTCATCATTATGACTCATCTATTTTTAATAGACATATAAATGAAACGTTACACAGAGGCCTCCTACTTGCCATAGGCTAAATATTGTGGTTCTTTTTCAGGTACAATTATTAGCAAATTCAATGCATACTTTAGGGGATGAAGGATTACAAAATTCAGCTACATGAGTTTTCCATTTAGCTCAAAAAGCCGGAGTCATTAGCACAGAGAAATGCATTGCTCCCTGAGTCTCCAATTATACATCTTTTAGAGCTGAATTTCAGTGTCATGTGTACAGCATGAACAGCAGCAAATACAAGGAGCCAGACACCAAAGAAATTTTGAAACAATTATCTGATACAAATATCTCAGAACAAGCCAAAGGGAAAGAGAAACATTTTTATTATCAGAAAATCTTTTCCCATTTATGAATGTATTCTCATATCAGGAAATGAATTTCTGAAAGCAAATTTCCTCACCAGGCTATCAAGCTCTCCCTGTTCTCCTTTTCTATAAGATAAATGATTCAGCACAGAGTGAAAAATATATTTGTTCTTATTGCACTGTTTTGACAGAGAATATCTTAGAAGGGAAGAAATTGGGATAATTTTGACTTCTTTACTGGAGTCTTATTTTGCAAAATGTAAGAGGAAATAGCATGACTATTAATCAAAAGAGGTAAATAAAGTAAAATATCAGCAAAATATCTCAGTGCTATACAGAAATTTAAAATATTGCTCTTTTATCTGAATGCTCATGTGGTGTTGTTGAAGTGCAATTCCATTGTTACATTCAAACAAATTCATTGCCCCACAGTGAAAACTATTCTATTTCTCCTTGTTTTTTCTTTTCCCCTAGAAGCCAAGGTATACTAGGAATGTCCAGCTGAAGTGATATTCCCTATATTCAAAGATCAGTCAAGAACATAATTGCTTTGTTTCTGATATCTTTTACCATGTCTAGTAAAATACCTCTTAAAAGCCTTGATTTCTTCTTATATTCAAGATAAATATCAGTAGAAATTGTTCATTACTACTAGGGTAATACCTCTTTTAGAAACTGTAGTAGTTTAACAAAGACTGGGAAAATGGAGACAACAAAAATGTAAAATTATGACCAGATATATGAGTTTTAGGCCATGAGAATAGTCTGAAAGCAAACATAATGAAAATTATTTTGAATTACTTCTCTTACCCACTTCCTTTGAACACAGATATGTAATTCTTCTCCCCTTCCCAAGGTTTGAAGTCAATACAGGTTTTCAGTCGATACTGTTCAAATGCCTTGAGGATAACCCCCTTAGCATTCATTTCTGCAAAGCAAACAGTGTTCTTGTTAATATTGAACTGAAAGATTTCTACTATTACCCATATGGAGCAAGTCCCAAGGGTGGCTCTTGCTCCAGCAATCTTTGATCAAAATAAACAGATCTTTGCTGGATTAAGACCCAAGTGGGGAGCTAAAAAACATAAATTAGGGTATTGTAACACTGTATCTTACTCTTGTTTTGCTCCTCTGTAATTTTTATTTGGTACTTATGTATCAAATATGACATGATGAGTATACAGAAGGATACTGTATGGGGTTTTAATTTTGTAGATTCTTTCATATATTTTTTGAGATTTATGTAAACAAGTATTAAATAGATAGGAAATGAAGACTTCATATTTTACCTAATACAGAATGCAGGCTACAGATCCCTCACTGAATTTCTCCAGCACTTGAATTTTTCAGAATATATCTGAAAAATTCAAATAATCTGTTTTATCTCCTCTAAGCAACTTGCATAGTTTCGACACAAAGATTTAAAGGATGGAGTCAAATTATGGTGTGTCTCTGACTCACATTAGGGGAATCAGCAATGTGCCATTGCAAACTCTCTGTCAGAATGCCATTTTGCCCTCACTGCTGTAAATTATATAAATGGCCAAGTAAACTTCCTGTCCTTTAAAGTATCTTCCATGCCCTCTTTTCATCTCAGCTTTGTAGAGTTTCATGTCTTAGACACAAGATTTCAAAACCAAAAGAATCTGCTGGGCCGTAGCAGGGTAATAATTCAAGAAAGGAGGTGAGAGCCAGCTCTGATACCAAGATTATAAATCCCGTTTATGCACACTCAGCCCCACTCCTGCTGTGGGAAATGGCCTCTCTAGATTGAGGAAAGGACACCACAGGAGCTTTATCAAGCTGTGCTGAACAGTTCAATCAACACAACATACAGACATGGTGAAGGGCAATACTGTACCCAGGCTGTCCTCAAGGACATACGGGATAACATGGGGCCATCGATAGTTGTCACCAATGATGGAGTTTCGTTCCTGTGTCCAAGAAAGAAAACAAGCATGCAGTCCTCAGTAAAAAAGGGATCTAGCATCAGGGACTACAATAGTGCTAAAGCAAACCTACAATTCCAAGTAAGACATAAAGGAAAACAATGAGCTCAAAAATCTTGAAAGGTTACTCAGAGGTCTGAGATCTGGGTTTGAAATCACTTCATGTCTTTCACTGGTGTCTCCAACTTCTGCTGCATTTTCTCTGTAGAAATTACCCAAGTTTTTGATGCATGTGCAAGAGAGCTTCTGCTCATATGGAAAGCCTTAAGATCTAAAGTCCTGGAAAAATGTACAGAGATTAATAGTTTTGTAATTTTTCATAATGCAAGAATTTGTTTCTGTGCCTTTAGCAAGTGCTGTCCTCACTTCAAGAGGTATATTCAGCATATCTCCCAAAAAGGAGAGTAAAACACTATTTTCTGATTACTTTCAGAGTGCAAGACACTCTGGGGGTTTCCTACTAGATATTTTTGAGATGTAAATGTGATTTTTTTATTCATTGATCAGATAAGGATGCTGACCAGATGCTCTAAAATGTGGTATTAGAGATCTAAATTTTTCACTGGTTTTAGTAAATCTACTTACAAGAGGAAGGTTTTGCAGTGCTGCTCAGTAAATTTAACTGGCTCAGAATAAATATTGTGCAGAGAAACAAAGAATTCTTTTTATACAAACCTGCCTGGATGATGATCAGTGCTGCCTAATCTCTTAAAAGTGACAATGTAAAAAAGGAAACAAGAAGCTAATAATATTGATTTAATCACTGATGAGATCTCATGCTGGATAATGTTTCTGCAAATGCTGTTGACTTCTTCACTGTCTATGACATTTTGTAGAATTCCATCCCCAATCATCTTCAGTTTATTGTTACATAAACAGCATTTATTGTTTGTAAGAGCAGGATGCATCTATTATTTCCATGCCAGTGATACTTTACATTTAAGTCAATGACTCATTTTTAGCTTTATATTTTTATTTGAACTCACCCCAGGAAGTTTGATGTCTCCTTCAAAGAGGTCTAGTCCTAAAGCTAAAGGGAAGAGGAGAATAACATTCGGTTATTATATTGATCTATGACTACTATAATGAAAATTATAGAAAAAAAATTGAGACTGAATTTTGAAAAACCTTCATTTATGTCAAAGATGTCCTGATCAATTCCTCCATCTATGTCTATTTCTGAAAAATAAAAAGACAAGTGAGGTAGGACATTAGCCCTTGCTGTTATCTTTATGAAGTGTGAAAATTAATGCAATAACAATAACAGTAATTATAAATCTGTGTCTGTCCTAGCAATGTTTATGAGCAGCTGGTTTTGTTGACTGCCTCCCATGCATACAAATAGATCTCTAAACTGAACTCACCAGTTGTCTCTGGAGCAGGCTGGGGAAGGGAAAGAAAAAAAAGATATTATTAGAAAGGCAGATAATGAAATGCAGCTCGCGTTACTTTCTCAACAGTATTAGAGATGTGATTCAAGCTCAACTGACAGCACTTAGCACACGGCTTTGTGTTGGACTGACTGCACCCACTGCCTCCTCATTTGACTGGAAATCTGTATTTGCTTGTCTGGCAGCTTTGTGCCCTCCCCACCTCAGGGTGCCCAACAAGTAATTCACCAGTACTGCTTCTGTAGAGGTTTCACAGCTACTTTTTCTCACAACTCAGGTAGTACTAAGTTGTCCTTCACAAATGGGAAAAAAAGGAGCCTGTTATTTCTATGGATTCAAGCTATTAGTCAGCAGCTGTGCAGAGCCTATGGAAGCTGTGCTGAACTTCCCATCACAAATGTGAAGATATGAGGAGAGAATGAGTGGTCTGGTGTTACCCAGTGAGGCTTTGAAGGACTGGGTACATAGCCCAGGTCACTTCAGCCCCAGTTCAGTGCCCTACCTGGACTCCATTTACCTGAGTAATAACAACTCAAACACTCCCTTTGCAACATGGAGAATCCACAGACCATAATGAGATAAAGTGACATATGTGAGATATACATAGAACAATTTCATTGCCATGACATCCCTATAGAATCTAATCTTAATTATTTTATTTAACTGGACACTTCATTTTTGGACTACTTTGGACATACTTGACATAACACTACATTACTATTTCTCACATAGTGAGTAAATCATGAGCAGACATTCTAAGCAATCAATCCTGCTGTCTTGTATTTGTGTGTTTAAATAGAAGTTCACAAACTGAAGATAAAAACATCTTCATATTCTAAAATAAATGTGACAGCAATTCTGGAAAAGAGTGTGGAATTTTTACTTTTTTTTTTTAACCACAGTTTTCCTCCTGTGTTTCTTTCTCCATATAAATAATTTTCTGTACATGCAGCTTTGCATGTAGGACTTATTTTTCTAGCGTGATAAGCATCTGCAACTTCCACTAGAAGTAATAAACAACACAAAATCAGAATGCTGAAAAAAAGCAAAAATCAAGTCCATGCAGTCCCTAGGAACATTAATTGTAGTAATCTCTAATATCTGTACAATGTGTAAGACAACACTATGGACAGAATATTCAGGAGAGATTCAAATGCACATGTTCTTCTAGATCTAAGTTTCAACACATAATGATGGGAACAATTTTGAGGGAAACAACTTGAGCCCTAGAACTGACTCCATATAAAAATTTTAACCAAACACAGAAAAAAAATCCTACCTCCCATGAAATGTCAAGGTTCAGAAAGAAAGCTTTGAAGTTGTCAGGATGTCTCATTTTAGCTTCATAAGGGAAGATTGATTTTTAATCTGAAATTACTGTCTTTTAAAAACTTCAGCAAATGGCAGAAAATATATTGTAAATACAAAGGCCAGAAATCTCATTTTATGATTCACCAGAACTAAAATTCACTCAAGGTGTTGCTTCACAGGTTTTGTCAGATTTTGATCACTTAATCTCATTGCCTAAGAGATGAAAACCATTTTTTTCCAAACCAAGTGGAGGCTATAATTTTTATCTTTAAGAAACATAATTCCTAATTGATATCAGCTGGCATAGCAAACATTTAGTAGCTAGCTGTTCTATAAACAGCCAAAGTTTTTAATCAGCTTCTCCTGCCTCCTTTTTCTACTTTTAATCAAACTACCACTCACATATGTCTTTGTCCAGTCTCAACCTGACCCTGACCAAGGTCAGTCTAACTTCCCTTGAAGGGTCAGTTACAGAAAACACTGAGTAGAATCTGTTTTCTGACTGAATTTGTTCTCAAACAGCCCCTCTTCAGCACTTTGCATTTTCAGAAATTTTTAAATTTGTCAGGTTTTAAGCGTGGTGACTCTTAAAAACCCAGTATCATTGCGGAAAACTGACTCTATTGAAAAACTGGTTTCAGAGTTGGGCAGATGCAAATGCCCAAGGATTGATGCAAATGCTGAAGGATTGATATTGATCTCACATTTCAAGATTAACTGGAATTTAGGTTTACATTGATACATGAGGAATAAGGATGGGGATTTGAGAAAGAAAACCCCACAACTGTATACACTCACAGCTTAATAACTGCAAGTATCTTGTTCAGACAAACCATCCATACATTTGAAATGTCAACAGACTCCTCCTACGTGTTGAAGTTTCATTGCATATATATCATACTATTGCACTTGTTATCACTGCACAAGACAATTCATTATCATTGTGCATAAAACAGTATTTACATATTCAAGTATTGAAATTAAGCAGCTTGTAAAACAAGTTGCAAGTACATGGGCAAAGTGTGCAACACACACTTTAAAGGCTTAATTTGCTTTTAAATTCCCACTAACACAGATTTCTTGGAAGAAAAAAAATTACCAATAACATTTGCAATATTAAAAAAATTAAATCACATTATTGCATTTTATGTAAAAAATTATTGATGGAGGAGAAGAATCACACCCATATATCCTGAATCCCCTTATAACAATTAATGGTGAGTAAAAATTTTCTGCTGTTCCAATAACTATAAACTACAATGTACCCATATCTACTAATCAGAAAGTATAACTGTCCTAAAGATACAAACTGGGTAACTCCTGGAAAAGCTCCTCTAGCAGCAGCAAAAGCTCACAAACTGAGATCACTAGCTAAGTACAGTGGTATTTTTGGTGCACAAATCAAAATGTGAGTCCACGACTGAATGAATACCAAATGCAGTGAAATCCAGGCTGGTCGTCAGTGTCTGTAAACTGCTACTGAATGTTTTATACTGACAGAATCCCTTTTATCACATCTTTCTACTGTGTTCCAAAAAAACCTAGGTTTTTCGTCCTGTGAATCTCAACCGCAAAATACTCTGTTTCAAAAGCTCCATCTCTGCATACAAGTATCACTTGTTCACATGGAAGTGACTTTGGTCTCAATACAGCCTAACAAAATATATGATGCAATTTCTAGGCTGTGAATATATTGTAAACACTCAACAAATACACAGTTCATAGTCTCATGCAGAGGAAGGTTGTGTTAGCTGAAGTGGCCCAAAGAGGAATCTAATTTAGTCTAATCTAATTCACATACACAAATTTCTGATCATTTTTAATACCAGAATCTAATTTTGGACATGGACAACATGTCACTTAAGACATTGTAATGGTTGGTTAAACCACTTGTGAGAACACATTTAACTGACAAAAACTTCAAGTGTGTCTTGGACAAGTGGGAAACAACTCATCTATTATAATCATGTAAAAATCAGGTAAAGGGACTCACTCAGTAATCAATCAAGAAACAAATGGATAATTCTTATGTGACGAGAATATCTATGGCACCACCATGATGCCCTGGCATTACTGTAAGATGATCTACCTCACCTAGCCTGGACATCTATTCAGATGGAATATACTAATCTAGTTTGGATGAGACACTTAACTTATCAGTGATTTTTCCAGACTATATTATTTTAGTATTGACATCTAGAAATTTGAAATTAGCTCCTCCTGGCCACAGAACACACGGAAATTAAATAATTAGCCCTGGTGGTCAGAACCGCTCTCTCACACAAGAGCTGGTTTTTGGGAATCAGTTTGATGTCAGGTTACTTCTGGATCTTAGTAATACCTTGTATCACCTACTATAGGCTTTAACAAAGCCAGTGGAATCTAAACAAGACTGAGGCTTGAGTTTCCAAAAGACTAAGGCAGAGGCACAGGTCGTGTGAATAGTAAGGAAGGATGGGATTGGAGTGGTGGGGAATATGGGAAAGTTTGGGTTGAGGCTGAGAGCTTAACTTAAGGAGATGTCTGAGCATGGGTCAGTGGAGAGGAAGAAGATAAGGCTGCCATAGGCAGTTACGTTGTGTAACTTCAATAATGTTATTGCACTTACGTAGTGTCATAAAAAATAATGCCTTACTCTCTAGATTACCCTGAAGTAACAAACAACTGAAACAAACTTTCACAAACCTTTCGATTTTTGTTACCTGAACTAATTATATTGTGTATCACCAAAAGTTCCTGACCTCTACAGCAAAGCCTCTCAACATGAGCAAAATGCTACATTTCACTAAAAAAGGCAGGTAATATCAAAATCTCAGCTGTTACTTTTTGACCTGAAATATTTCAGCTGGATTGGAGGAACAGGAAGCATTAATTTCCAAGCATATCCAGTGGCTAAAAAGGCATAAATTCCAATAACAATTATATTGTGTTGTAGCAAAAAAACCCAACCAAACAACCAAACCAAACTAAACAAAAAACCAAACACATCCCAAACAAAAACAAAACCAAAAAACCACACACACATGAAAAAAAAAAAAAAAAAAAAAAAAAAAAAAAAAAAAAAAAAAAAAAAAAAAAAAAAAAAACGAAAAACAAAACCAACAAAACAAACCCCAAAATCGCCCCCCAAAAGCCAAAACATTCAGACATGGACAATTGAAATAAATTTCATTTCTGGATTTTAACCTCAGACTAGGTCTGGTAACTTTGAATACTAGTGGACATTTTGCTTAGTTGGGGAACACAAGGTAATCTCTTTCCATGTATAGCCAAATCTATGAAAAATAGCAAAACTAAGATCCCAAGGAAACAGGAAACACAAATCATTTATCTCTCCCATGCAGACAATAACAGAATTATATTGATTCTGGAAAACAATAATTAAGTCCTTTCCTCTCAAGCTCATCTTAAGCTGCATTATTTTCTCAGTCAGATAAAGAATATATATTCTTTGTTTTCTTACCAGACTCCAGACCACCTGAAAAAAAAGACAGGTAAGAAGCCCAGGCACAGAAAACAAGCTCATGTTGTTCTCCACTCTACAGTTGTGTGGATAGAATTTTACACCAAGTTGGTATTTAAGATAGTAAATATCATAAATCAGAACCTTTGTCCTCTCAACAACAATTAACTCACCTTACCTATGGTTTTCTTGTCGAGTAAGCACATCATTGTCAAGTA